ACCGCGGAGGACCCCGGGCTGTGTCCTGCCACCAGACGTCACCTGGCCAGCATTTGACTGAGGCTTCCGCGTGGATCCCCATCCTGGAGGCTCCTGTCCCTCCAGTGCGTTGGTCCCTCAGAGTCACCCCCAGGAGAGAAGGCGCTCAATGCCCTTGGGCTCTGGCACAGCTGTGACTGCGCAGTGTGCGGTGGATGGGGGTGTGGAGAGTCGCCGGAGCCTCTGCCCACCAGGTGGCTCACAGCAAGGTCCAGTGACATGTGTGCCTGTGTGAACCTCACTGCCCTGCTCCGGTCCACCCTTCCCCTGTCACCTCTCCATCTCTCTCCCCTTCCCTGTTTTCCTTCTGTGTCTCTCCCTTCCTCCCTCTCCTCACTTGTCTCTCCCCTGCATCCCTTTCTTTCCTGGCAGTTGTTTTTATAAAGTCCTGTAAGTCATTTAAGAGCCACAGAATATCCACAGCCCCCAGGTTAGATGGCCACCGCATGGCTTGTGGCCCCCAGTCTGCGTGAAAGCGGCCTTTCCAGCGGGCAGAGCAGAATCCTCGCGTGTGTCTCTCCACCGACACCCCCTGCCCCTCCCTTCCACACACGCACAGAGAAGTTTCACAGGCTTCAAGGTCCAGTGCCCTGAAATTGCCCATCAGCTGCAGAGAGAATCCATCTTACACCCCCTGTAGGTTCCTCTTTCTGAGACACCCTTTGTCTCTGTCTAATTGTTTCCTGTGCAGGCCAGCTGGACCCTGAGCACACACCTAGGGGCAAACTTGGATGCTCTCCTCTCTCTCATTTCCATCTCAAGAAACCTGCCTGGGAAAAACTGCACCTGGAGTATCTGTCACGCTATCTTTGCGCCTCCCCCACCAACACACACACACATACACACACACACACACACACACACACACACACACACACACAGACCCCAATTCAGAGGAGGGGGCGGGAACCTGGCTTCCCAACAAGCAACCAGGGAGGGAAGCTGCAGTTCCACAGACCACACCTTAAGGCACAGCTCTGGGCCCGGCAGGGGACACCGCCTCCCACCACACACACTCCCAGCTGCTCGGAGGTGCTTGTCTAAAGGGCCTTTGTGGAGCTTATCAAAAAGTCTTTTCAACATCTAAATCGAATTAGATGCACTCACTCCTCTCCAGCCCCTTCATCTCTCCAGATTTGCTCCTCCACTGGTGAAGTGGGTGAGCACCGAGGAACAGGTTGGAACAGCCCCAGCGAATCCATCCCGGGCTCTGTCCGGTAAACCTCCCTTCGTCCACATTCAGTGATGGCCCAGCCCCAGCCCACTTACTGGCCACTGGAGTTTTTGTGCCGCCAGGCAGCCCGGAGCAGAACCAGTGGATCAGCATCTCCGCCTGACTCTGGGCGTCCTCACGTGAGCACATCATGATTGCTGGGAGCCAAAGGGAGACACCTGGGGCCCCGCTCAGGGCAGGCTGGAGACGAGAGTGATTGCATGACGGCTTCACTAGCTGCTTGCAATTGCTGTGATGACAAAGTGCTTGTAGCTGAGAGGCACGCACCCTTTCGTTGAGAACAGTGCCTGATGAGGTTGCCTTGTGCAGCTTCAGCGCCCCCCCCCACCTCCCTCATCTTATGGGGGTAGAAGCAGCGAGGACAATGCAAGCATCCAGGGGGCAGAGGTAGGGCACGCCCTGTTTGCCAGCTCTCTGCCTCCACTCAGTGCTCCCTCGCAGCTGGAGGCTGCTGTGGACTCAGCCTCTGCCTTTTCCACTGGGAAATGCACTTTCCAAAGTGATGATACTTCTAGAAGCTGTTCGTGAGTAGAGTTAACAGTGTGAGTTTGATGTTTCCTCAGTGATGGTCTAAGCCCCCCGAAACAGGAAGTGGTCTGTCTGTTCCCAAAGAGCAAGAGCTCCAAACACAGAGGAGATGCCCACTCCCCAAATACCCAACACAGACTCAGATGGTCTGTTGGGAGAAGCAGTGGACCCATCTCTTGGGCTTTTGAAATAGCTACCTAGGGGGCTGGAGAGAGAGTGCAGGGAGTAAGACACTTGCCTTGCATGCAGCCAATCTTGATATCATCCCCAGAACTATAAAGGGTCCCCTGAGCGCAGGACCAGGAGTAAGCCCTGAGCACTGCCGGGCAAGGACCAAAATAAAAGACAGGGACCCAAAGAGATAGTACAGTGGCTGACCTGCATGTGGCCAGGCCAGATTCAATCCCCTGTACTGTATATGACCCCCAGTCGTTGCCAGAAGTCATCCCTAAGCATGAGCCAGGAGTAAGCCCTAAGCACTGCCAGGTGTGGTCTGAAAGCAAACAAACAACAAAACCAAAATAGCTGCCTAACGTGTCTAAAGAGTCTAACAGTGTCAGCACGTCTGTTGTGGTGTGGTTCCAGGCTGGTGCTCCCTGGTTCTGGGCGGTGCTCCCGGGCTCCTGACCATGCTCCCAGGCTGGCTTCTTCATTGCTGTGTGGAAGCCAAGATAGGGAAAGCCAGAGATGAGGTGCTGTCTCAGGCTCTGGCAGTGATGGGCCCTGGGTAGGAGGAGCTTTCCCTGCTCTGTTCCCTTACCCTCACCCCCCTCTGGCTTTCCCAGCTGTCTGGACTCCTGGGGGCTGCCTTGGGCCCACTGCAGGTGTGAGCACTGCTCATCCCCACCCAGGGAGATGGCTGCTGTTGCCATGTTTGTCCTTCTGAGACTTCCCGTTCTTATTATTCTGGTATTGAAGGAGAATCATTCTCAATAGACCATACTGGAAATGTACCACTTCACTTACAGTAATATATGTCTTGTGTTGTTATTAACCAATTGAATGCTGACTTGGTACTGTCGTACCTTACTTCTGGTTTCCTTTTTATAAAATTAGATTTCAGGAAGGCAATATTTTTAAAAATAAATAAAAATTGCTGACATTTTGCTTTTATTTTATTTATTTTTTGCTTTTTGGGTCACACCTGGAAATGCACAGGGGTTACTCCTAGCTCTGCACTCAGGAATTACTCCTGGCAGTGCTCAGGGGACCATATGGGACTCTGGGACTCGAACCTGTGTTGGCTGCTTGCAAGGCAAACACCCTACCAGCTATGCTATTGCTCCAGCCCCTGACATTTTGCTTTTAAAAGTAAAGTTGACTCACTCTTTTTTTTATTTTATTTTATTTTTATAAAGTTGCTCACAATAATTCATTACATTTAACATTTGAACACGAATCCCACTACCATTGCACCTTCCCACCACCATATTTCATATGTTTTCAACCCAAATCCCAAACTGTGCCTCCCAAAGCAGAAACAAAACAATTTTGTATTGCTTGTTGATAATAATCCTCTAAAAATTCTCCAATCAAGTTTCCACAGGGAAAGTGTGTGAAGATAGCTGTATTTCATCCTGGAAACATTAAGTCCTTAATGTTTCCAGTATAAGAGATTACTGACATGTTTGTTAAAGGTTGAGCCTTGTGTGTGTGTGTGTGTGTGTGTGTATATATATATATATATATATATATATATATATATATGCTGGTGCACAGCAAGTAAGTAAAGTAAAGTAAAGGCCGTCCCGTTGATCGTCAATTTGCTCGAGCGGGCCCAGTAACGTCTCCATTGGAGACTTTGTTGTTACTGTGTCTGGCATATTGAATACTCTCGGTAGCTTGCCGGGCTCTCCGAGAGGGACGGAGGAATCGAACTCGGGTCGGCCATGTTGGCTGCGTGCAAGGCAGATGCCCTACCCGCTGTGCTATCGCTCCAGCCCTGGAGCTGGAGCACAGCAGGTAGGGCATTTGCCTTGCACATGGCTGACCCAGGTTCGATTCCTCTGCCCTCTTGGAGAGCCCAGCAAGCTACCAAGAGTATCCCGCCTGCACGGCAAAGCCTGGCAAACTCCCCATGACATATTTGATATGCCAAAAACAGTAACAACAAGTCCCACAATGGAGACATTACTGGTGCCCACTCAAGCATATCGATGAACAATGGGAAGACAGTGCTACAGTGCTCTCTCTCTATATATATGTATATAATATATATAATATATATTATATATAATATATATAAAAATTTTCCCCCATGAGATTGATTGCCTTCTACTTTAAACCCCATCCAATGTTGTATGCTACTCTTGGTACATCAGTAATATAGAGTATTAGAGTGTGTACCAATGCGGCTATGTGCTCCAGAAATTCTAAAATTTAGAATACGATTATATGGCAGATTCACTCATGGGTGAGACTCATATGAACCTCTGGAGAGCGGTCGTGAGCATGGCAGCAATTGTGTTCTGGTTTTCAGCTGTCGGGGCTCTATTGGGCAGGAAGGGGTGCTTGTCCCCCTCACTTGGTTAAGACAAGTTGACTCACTCTTGGGTAATAATAAGCTTAAACTAGTAAAATTGCTCTGGTATCTTTAAATCATACTGAATCTTTTGGATAGATCGCTCTATTTTCTACTATAAAGTCCATGGGGCCAAAGAGATAGTACAGTGATTAGAGTACTTACATGACAGCCAAACCGGGTGTGATGCCCAGCATGGTTCCCTGAGCCCTGCCAGGAGTGATTCCTAAGTGTAGAACCAGGAGTAACCCCTGAGTATTGCCAGGTGTGGCCCCAAAACAAAAACAAACAAAGATAAAGTCCTGCTGGAAAATTCCAGATGCAGAGGTGTTTATAACAATATTCCAACAGAGAGGCAGAGGTGGGGAGAACTCAAATGGTAGAGCAAAGCCCTACATTTCTGAGGTGCTAGATCCCCTCCCAGGTGCTGCATACGCCCCCCTGGAGGGCCAGTGAGTACAGCCCTGGTGCTCCCCACCTCCAGCATTGCCATGTGTGGGCCCCTTCCAAGAAAGCAAGAGAGTGGGAGAGTGAATGAGTGCACAGAAGGGGTGCTTCTGTTGGGAGCAGAGCTCCCGGCCACCAGAACCTTACCTTGAGGAGGGCGGGGTGGGGGGGGGCAGAGGATGAGACCCTGAAGTGCTGTGTCCCTGAGCCCCGTGTCCTTTCTCTCCACAGCTGAGCCCCCGGTGGCTGCGGCCGTGTTGTCCCATTTTAACGACTGCCCGGATTCCCACAGCCAGTTCTGCTTCCATGGAACCTGCAGGTTTTTGGTGCAGGAAGACAAGCCAGCATGTGTGTAAGTGTCCTGGGATGGGTGTTGGGGGGTAGGGGGCTGGTGGAGGCAGCTTCACAAGTCCTTCACAGAGCACTGTCAGAGGCCCTGAGACCCAGGGTGACAGGTTAGAGGGTCACGGCAGCAGGCTGGGGACTCCTCACAGACCTAGCGCTCAGGAGCCCTGAGAGTGTATACAATAGTCCCAAGTAGCACTGCATCATCACTGAACTTTCAGGCCCAACGGGCCCACAACAACAGCCTAAGCATCACTGGGAGTGGCTCCTGTTTAAAAAAAAAAATTAATAAAAAGAAAAAAAGGACAATGGGCTGGAGAGATAGCACAGCGGGTAGGGCGTTTGCCTTGCACGCGGCCAACCCGGGTTCGATTCCCAGCATCCCATATGGTCCCCTGAGCACTTCCAGGAGTAACTCCTGAGTGCAGAGCCAGGAGTAACTCCTGTGCATTGCCAGGTGTGACCCAAAAAGCAAAAAAAAAAAAAAAAGGACAAAAATACAGATTCCAAGGCCTCCCGCCAGAGCCCCTGAAGGAGAATCTTTCCAAGGTAGAACCCGATGAGTCTGCATCTTTACCACATACCTTGGGTGAGTCCTGGAGTCAGCAAAGTGTGAATCTTCCTGGATCCAATTTCAGCTCCCTCAGAATTTCTACAGGACAAGCTGCAGGCTACATCTCGCTGAGCAGCCAGGGTCTCTCATCTGGCTTGGTTATGGAAATGGCTAGTAAGGGCTGGCAGAGGTGATGTCATCTGAACAAGGAGTAGCTCAGAAGTAATGATGAGAGTCAGGGCAGGATGGTTTCCATGCCAGACATGATTCCCCCCCACACACACACACACATAAACCAACCTCCTGACTCAGACTCTCCAGTGATAGCACCCCAGGAATCACATCCTTCGGGAACGTCCAGCAATGGCCCTGGCCAGCCCTGCTGGGAAAGAAGCGTGTGAGGAAGCTTCCCCTGAAGGGGTCAGGGTTCGGCTTGTTCAGAGCCACGACGGTGACTCCAGACCTGGCTGTCACAGGTCAACTTGGCTGTACTTGGTTCTTCTCCAGCAGAGAAAGTTGGGTGTGAAGTGGAGGCTAGCGCCTGCTGGGGAGAGCTTTATTGTCTAGGCAGCGCCCACCAGGTTGGTTTGGGAAAGGGACTTTATGGAAACTACCTGCCCGTTATAGTAGGTTGGCGCTGGAGCACCATTTAGGGGGAAGAAACTGTTTCTGTACATTGAAGGATGTCAGTAGCATACACGGCCTTCACCCATCCAGATATTGCTGATGGACATAGCCGATGGGGTGACAAAACTCACTCAGAATCGCTCATCTACATCAAGTTGCTGTTTCTGTGGGTCAGAAATGGTGGCAGGTCAGCAGGTTTCCCGTGACCCCACCCTACGGACAGTATGAAGTCACAGCACCCATCTGGCTAGCAGACCTGGGGTAATAGTACACAGTAATCAAAGCAAGTGGCAACTGAGCTTTGGTCTCGTGTTCAGCATGAGCCCCACATTCACTTGTGGCATCCTTACAAGCATGCTGATGGGTGGGATGGTGCCCCAGTCACACACTCCAGTCCTCGGCTCTCAGCTTCAGACACTGAGCTCTTAGTCAAGTGTCTGTGGCTGTCAGATGCAGTGACCGAGGAGAGATTGGGGGCAAGAGAGCCTGTTCCATGAGCCGTGGTGTTCTGTTCCTGTTCCCTGTTCCTCAGGGATGGCCACGTGAATCCAGGAAAGCTCCTTGGGGCCCTCTGAGCCCACCAGAGAAACATGCTGACCACCTCTCCTGGAGGAAGACCATATGAGGGCCCTGTGTTCTGTCTGCAGAGCTAAGAAAATCTCCCACCCATAGGTATCAGCTCCGTGCCAAGAATGGGCTGTGTCATTACTCATGGTGGCCGTGCTTGTTTCGATGCACACAGGGCCCCAGGACAGATAGGAGTGTTTTTATGAGTAAACCAGGTCATTATGGGAAAACACTGGTCCTGAAGGCCACCGTGCCTCTCGGCACAGATGCCAGGCCTCACCTCCAAAGGTACCCAGGGCAGGCTGCAGACTGTGCCCAGCTGACCCTCTCTCTGACCCATCATGAGAGCTGATCAGAGCAAGGTCAGAAACTCAGTTTTCCCTCTTCAAGTGCCATCCCCACCATGCTGGGACCTAGAGCAGCAGCCCTGACTCATCAGGTGAGCTGCAGCAGTAACCTGTAGAGTTATTGCTGTTGGCACCCCCATCCCCAGCCTCTTCCTCCCAGGATGAGGGCCTGGCCACTCTCCTGTTCTCCCATCGGATCCCCAGCCCTGCTCTTGGCTCAAGAGAGGCCATTGGCTGTCACATGGACACATCTGTGAGGTTTGGAAGCAAGATGCCAACCAGTCTCTCAACCCATTCACATTGTAAATATTATTTTGAATAATAATGTGACCCAACACAAGTTCAGTTGAAGGCCAGTGTTCAAGAGAGAAGACGCAATACTAATAAAATCACTTTTTTCAAGGACTCTGTGAAGGGAGTGGACTCGTGTCCCGTAAAAGGTCTTAGCTGCAGGGTTGTAGGAAGCAGCTTTCACAGGAACAGAGAGCAGGGAGGCTGGGTTTTAAGAGGGTGAGTTGTAGACCCGCGGCCACCAGGGTTATCAATAAACTCCCTCATGACTGGTCACTTCCAGTGTCTCTGCAAATAACGATTCCTGATGAAGGCTTTCACCCTCCTATCCTCAAGGATAAGATAAAGGGTGCACTCTCAACACATTCAGAGAAGTTTGTGGGATTTCTACTACTTAACTGGGCTCTTCGTTCCCTTAGACAGGCTGCAGTGGCGGTCAGCCCTCACTGTGGCCACAAGCAGGCCACATACAGCACTCCACACATGGTGACCCAGGGAGCCCTCAGTTCTGCACAGTTCCCCTCTCTGGCAGGATTTCTTGCCCTTCTTGAAAAAAATGAGAAAATAGAGCCTTGGAGAAAGTAGACAACTGACCTAAGGCTTCGGAACTTGGATCTCAGCCTCTCTCGCCTGAGACCCTGCCTCTCTGCTACTGCCCTAGAGGCCTTGTATCCAGCAAAGGGGTAAGCAGCTTCTGTCATCCTAAACCTTATTTTGAAAGGGTCAGCGTCAAGCGCCAGTTTGTTCTCCTGATCACTGACCCTCAGAGAGTCCTTTCTGAGTGCTGGGTCAGTAGGCAGAGCCCAGCCACCCCTGCAGCTGGGAGACAGAGGCAGAGTCACCTGGGCCATGCACACAAGCCCTCTCTTCACCCCAGTGACCTCTCCCCATGCAGCTCTCAGTGCCCAGGGGCCCTACTCAGCCCACAGCCATGTTTCATGTGAGGTGGGTGATGTTCCTCAATATACGTTCCTTAACCATCAGCCGTTGTTACTGTGTCTGGCATATCGAATACTCTCGGTAGCTTGCCGGGCTCTCCGAGAGGGGCGGAGGAATCGAACTCGGGTCGGCCATGTTGGCTGCGTGCAAGGCAGACGCCCTACCCGCTGTGCTATCGCAACAAAGTCTCCAATGGAGACGTTACTGGGCCCGCTCGAGCAAATCGATGATCAACGGGAGGGCCTCTACTCGAGCAACCATCAGCCGTGCGAATCAACGCCCCTTCTTTTGAACACCGCCATTCACTGAATTACTGCTGCAGACTTAATGCAAAAGCATTTGCAAATAAAAGTGGGGGGGTGACCATTAAGGAAAGTCTTCTCAAAAATTATAGGCCAATATTGGAACTGAAAAAAAATAAAGAATGGATTATCAGGTGAAATACAGAAAGCAGAATGGCAGCTGGGACTATCTGGCAGGCATATGTTCTTGGGTCCCAGTATCCCCCCCCCACATCCCACCACGACCAGCTCCAGCTTCAACCCCTGCTCTCGACCCTGTCACTCCCCATCTCCTGTGGCCTCCTGTCCTGACTCCAGTCCCTTTACCAGCCCTACCATGGCCACATGAGCCTATCAGCTCAGCGAGAGCAGGACCAGGCCTTAGAGCTTTATATTTGATGGAAACTAAGGTTCTACTGTATGGATTCCCTTTAGACCAGAGGCAGCCTGTGCAGAGAAAACTGTGTGTGTGTGTGTGGGGGGGGGGGGGGGGGACAGGAGGGGAGCTAGTCTTCCTCTACCCTTCTCGATCTGTGAGGCTGGAGAAAATTGAGTTGACATAAGAGATAGCAAAAGAAAGCCCAGACTTGGATTCTGTGCACTCAGGGGGCCCAGAGAGCATCATGGGCTCTGATCTCTAGTCCTTCCAGTGAGGTTAGACAGTTTCTAGAAAGAGGCAATACATTTAGGACAGAAAAATGGGGGAAATAAATAGCTTTTTTTTTTTGCTCTTTGGGTCACACCTGGCAATGCATGGGGGTTACTCCTGGCTCTGCACTCAGGAATTACCCCTAGTGGTTCTCAGGGGACCATATGGGATGCTGGGAATTGAACCCAGGTTGGCTGCATGCAAAGCAAATGCCCTGCCTGCTATGCTGTCACTCCAGCCCCATAAATAGCTTTTCAAAGAAAAGGGAACTTTGTAGCTTTCTGTACATATGTCTGAAAAGCATGCCTTGCTAGATGATAAGGCTTGAAACTTGTAGTGATAAGGCTATAAGGCTGTTGCCTCCAAGACCACCACAGAGAAGATTTAGTTCCTATCTTCAGGAAAAACTGACACGAATATTCTTGTCAAAAACAAACCTTCAGGGCCCAGAGAGACAGCCTGCCCTCCCTCCCCCACCCACACTACCCAGGGTGATTCCTGGGTACCACCCAGTGGGACCCAAGAGGAAAAATAAAAAAAAAAAACCTGCCATAAAACATTGTCATACTGGAACTCTTTTTGCCAGAAACACAACAGTCAAGTTTTCAGAAAACTAAATGACATCTCACATTGAATATGAAGGAAAGAGGAACAAAAGGTTCGGTCAGGGGTGACCAAGGTAATAGAAAGTAGCCTAAAGCACTGCATCTGTCCTATGAACCCCAGATTGAACTTTATTTCTCCCACTAGTAA